GAATGCTTCGATCGAGCGTCGACGTCGCGGCTAACCGAGCGTATGAGAAATGTCATGTCAACGTCGACTGCTGCTGATTAGATCGCTGCTCCGCCGTATCCGAAGCGAGTCGTCGAGCCGAATTGCTCGCCGGCTCTCGCTGACAATGTGCAATAAACAAAACAATTTAACGCACACGCCGCAGCGCAGGGCGTGGCCCAGTGCGTAGCTCGCTGTACAGGTAGTGCTGCCTGGCTACCTGGCTGCCAATGTATCTACAAATACATCTACATCTACATATCAATGTATGTACATACATATCTATGTCTCTAGCCAGCGCATCTAGCCATGCATGTCGTTTACTTTTTGTGTATCTTTTGAGTGTTTGCGCAGTTGGGTTCCAGCATCGTTGACATTGTTGTTGCTGTTGTTGTTGTAATTGCTTTGTTGTTGTATTCAATGGCACTTTTAACAGTTCAGTGGTTTTGCCGTTGACAACAATTGTTTGTTGTTGCCCAATGATAAATGCTTGATTCACATTTGTAGCAACGATATTGCTGTTGATTAGCTTTGTTACTGAAACAACATAAATGCATTCATCACACACACACACAAACGCACATGATTCTACACAGCGTATACGCAATTATTTCCACAATTTGCTTACTACTTTTCAATTAGTCATTCGACAGCTACGCAATTAGAGGCGCCCTTTGCATAATTATTTCAAGCTTGTGGGGCCCATGACAGCGTCGTGTGCGTGACCTTTTGCGGTTTTCACTTGAATTTTACTTATTGGCAAGTTGGTCAAGGTCACCGTCAGCCATCAGCCATCAGCCATCGGCTGCCCAGATGTCTTGCTTGAGCGACGATGTGCCCACATAGCATAGGTACATACATACATACATACATATGTGTAAATGCTGTAAGGGCGGACATTATTATTATTTCTGTGTAATAAATGCGAATGTATGTAAGTCTGCTCTGCTCCACTCTGGCTCACAAACATGCAATTGCTCAATTTGGCATGCATATTATGTGCATGTATGTACCTGTTCGAATGCATGTGTATTGAGTCTTACAGAGTAAAGAAATTGAACGTAGCATTTAAGCTGATTACTTTTAAGAGAGGAAAAGTATTTCTTTGACGTTCTTGAGAACTTTAAACTTTGAGTAAAATCTGACAAGAGGGAATATATACTACGCTACACATTAAGTGTGTAGATTGTTTATAAATTTCCTAATTATTATTTCATAATTTTGAAAAGCCTTTTTTGCAAATGCAAAAAGTGAAAGCCGAAAAACCTGTTTAAGGAAATTAGCTAAATTAACTGGAAAATGCGTTGTACAAAAATATATATTCCATTAACTTAATTAGCTAGAAAATGCATTAAACTCTATGCAATATATATATATATATATATATATATATATATATATATATATATATATATATATATGTTGCTTTGTATATATTAGATATATATATATATATATAAAAAAAAAATAAATAAATAAAAAAAAAAAAATAAATAAAAAAAGAAAAAAGAATGAAGAACTCTAACTTTTTAATAAGCTGATAAAGTTATACTTTTCTTTCTCTAACTATTTAACAAGCTGATGAAGTTATTCTATTCTATGGAGAGCTCTAACTAAATAATAAGCTGATCAAATTATTCTTTTCTACTTTGTTAGTTAGCTATTATTAATGCTTACCTTGACTCCTGAGCTCTTTGCCATATGCTTTCGCTCGGCTTGATTGTCGCCCTGCGTATACGTAATTATTCATAAGCATTGCACTCTGCATGCAAAGGCACTATAAATTATTATTGCATGCAAACAACGGAAAAACAAGTGTATATATGTATTTATTTATTTATGTATATATGCTTGTAGATATGTCTTCAAATGTATATATTTGTGTGCGTGTGTTATGGAAATATAGGTCGTCATAACTTTCCATAATCGCAGGTCGAGATGACGCCATGTTTAAAACGCCAAGCCAGCACAATAACTAGCGAAAATGCAACAGCAACGGCAACAGGAACAACAGCAATGTGAAACTGCAAAATGTGACTTTAAAATTTATGTGGTGTTGCTGCACCACTGTTGCCTTTAAAAAACAAAAGGCCGCGACCGGTCGCAAGTTTATTTGTAGCAATGCCCGCCCCACAAAGCTTCGCATTTCACCTTGAACTATAAAATTAGTAGTGTGCGCGTGTGTGTGTGTGCGTGCGCGTGTCTGTGTTTGACTCTGTGACTTCTACCAGCAACAGAAGTGACGTATGAATGACGCATACAAAAATAAATGTTGCACAACCGACAGCACACATTTGTAGTTGTGTGAGAGCTTATATAAGAAACATACATTTACCTCAGATATACTACGGTAATTACAACCATTACAAATTACAGCCAACTCGCTATTATGCGTCCACATTAACAGTTATCAGCTGATATGTAAATGTGTAAAGGTAGGAATTAAAGGATACCAAACCAAAAGTTACTTTTCTATACAATGTGAGAGAGAGAGAGAGATAGAGAGGGCGAAAGAGAGGAAGAGAGACAGGGAGAGAGACGAAGAGAGAGGGAGACAGAGAAAGGAAGGAAAGAAAGAGGTGGGAAAGGGAGAGGAGAGCGAGAGAGAGAGAGAAGGAGACAGAGAAAGGTGGGAAAGGTAGAAGGTGAAAAGAGAGCGAGAGAGAGAGAGAGAGAGAGAGAGAGATGTCGCGATCTAGAGCGATGCAGGCATCACAATTTGTTGTACATATACAATACAATTTTATTCTGTGTTTGTATGAATCAATTGATGAATTAAGTAAATTATTAAATTACACATTTCATAGTTTAGAGATTTGCTTATTATTTTATACAAAACAAATTGAAAATAAAGAAAAAAAATAAATAAATTTTATTAAACAACCAAAAGCCTTATAGAAACAATTAATAGCACTTAAAATTAGAAATCTACTTATTGTATGTATTATTGTATTCTAATTATGTAAAATATTTTATGTAAATTATTTTATAAGGATAACACTGTACCAAAAATTAAGTATGCGAGGTTGACAGACATTTCGTGCCCCTACATAAATTAATTATGCGAATCCTTGCGCAATTTTGTCAAATAAGACTCTAAGTTCCTTTGTCTTTTTATAAAAGTCAAGCTCTACGGCTTGATTTTAGGCACTTTGCATTAATAAGCACCCAAAGCAGTTAGTCGGGCAATCAGTTTGGGTATGCTTAAATATGTAAGCACACGGATATGTGTATGCGCAATAAATACATACATGAACAATTAACCTACGTCGCACACTTCACAAAACTTTGCCTAATTAAAAATGCCAAAAAGTCAGGCAAAGTGTGCTGGCGTTGCTCTTAAGTGGGGTCAGACAGCAGGCAACAATGACACCAATGACACCCACACTGTTGCACTCACACACACGCACATGGCTATGTGACATGTCAGACAGGCCAACAGTCAGTCAGGCCGGCAACCAGGCCATAAAGCACCGTCCAAAGTTGCGCTTGAATGCCTCAACGATGGCAACAGCTGAAGGCACACACACACACACACACACGCACTCATACATAGACATAAGAAACAGCAACAGCAGTAGCAACAGCATTAGCAAAAAACAATAGCAACAGCAACAGTCTCACCCAGGCGTTGCAAGCAACTTGTCACATTGTTTGAATCACTGAATTATGCAAATAGATATGCACACACACAAGATACTCGCTCTCTCTCTCTCTCTCTCTCTCTGCATGTTTACCCTGTCACTAACAAAAACAGCAAAGGCAATTTGCCAAAAGTCTTTGCTATTTAACACCACACAAAAATAATCAGAAAACATTCAGTTCGTGTGACTAAGCGACTAACTAAAAGTTGCACATGTCCGAGCACACAGACTGCATATGTATGTGTGTGTGTGTGTGTGTGTGTGTGTGTGTGTGTGTGTGTGTGTGTGTGCGTATGTGTCTGACATTTGTTTTATACTCACCCACCGTTTGTTCTTGCTGTTGTTGTTGGCAACTTCCGGTTTGTACAGCACGCCGAAGTTGCTGTCGGTTGCACCCTTGACAATACTAATACAAACAACAGCAATAGCATTAGCCACGCCCACTGCAGCCGAGCCGCCCACTGCTAGCAGCAACGAGCGTGTGAACTTTCAATGAAACAAGTCGACTTTAAAGCAGCAGCTCGACCGCCGCTAACTGAAATTTATTTAAATCTCTGCAATAATTGTTCTGAGCGCCTGTTGCAGCTGTCTTGCGGTCTTCTGGTAGCTGCTTTTCGTATATCTACCCTATAACAAGTTCAATTGTATATACTACTCCAGCTAGATAAAACAGTCAAAGCAGAAAGAAAACCCAGAGTTGGCATTAGAATATTCCAAATTCTTGGTGAGGTATATGGAATGACTTGGTTTATAGAATTTAACAGCTGAGCAATGGGTATCAAGTAGTCGAGCATTAGCCATTTTAGCAAAATCTGCTTCAATTCTTTCTTCTTCTTTTTTGTTGTTTTTTTTTTGCCTTGGGCGCGCATAAAATTAGTGGCGGAAATTTATTATTCTTGAAGCTGGCTTTAATGCCAGAAGTTAGCGCAGTTTGTTTATGCTTGCTGCGCCCGCAGCGAATCGAAGACTTCAGACAAAAGTTCACAATTAATTAGAGACTTGGTCAGTTTAAATGTGAATTTTAAACTATTCAAAAACTCTGCTTAGCTGTGTCAATCCATCAATATGCCGAACAGAGAATACAAAGCAAGTTAATGAGTAAATCTAGACGCTTAGCTGAACAAGTAAATAGACAAGATTTGGGCGTATATTGAAATTGCATTAAATTATATTTATTGGTTTCATCGTTTTGTATATATGTATATATATATATAAATAAAACAGACATATTTCTTGATTGATTTGAATTTCGCTTATTATTTAACGCTTGCAATGTTATTATTATAAGGAAATAAATAAGAAACAAATGTGCTGAAGAAATTTGTTGAAATGCATCACTGCGTATTTGTTTTTATTTTTATTGAATTGATAATATGATTTAAATAATTTCGTACTATTTATTGCATAAATTCTTTTTGTAGCAACATTATAAGCCGGAAAATGTATTGAACGAATTTAAAGTGAAATTAATTGAATTAATTGAATTAATTGATTGAATTAAGTTGATAACATTTAGCAGTTGCTCATTTCTTATTGTTGTTGTTGGATATAATTTACTTTTGGCTCACTAGAATTAATGCAATTCGCTTAATACACACGTACATAAATACATACATAAATACAATCGTGATCGTAGTATATAGTCAGTTTATAGAGGCGTCAATTTCTATTTTAAATGCAGCCAAAAACACAATTTCTACACGTTTTCTCAAATTTATATAATATATATTTAATATATATATATACTTTTTTTATTATTAATTATTTTTTTTTTATTAGTTTTGTGTTATAAATTTTTGCTATAATATAAAGTTATTTAAATCCAATGTTTATTTTCGTAACTCTTTGCTCTACTTTTACGCTTTGCTTTTTGCTATTATGTGGCAAGCCTTGTCTTTTACGCTGCCAAAGACATAAACGAAAAGTAAATAAACATTTATAATAGAAAAGCAACAATTCAAATCGGTATTTAATTAAATTGTAAATGAATGCACTACTTTAATTAATGCCTGTGGAATCTGATTTGCTGCCAGTTAATTGAGTATGTTGCTGCCACTTATATACTTACATACATTTAAACATATTCTTTAATTATTCATTAATATACATATATATGGTTTACATACATATAAATGTATATATATATATAAATTTGCACGCATGCATAAGCATTTTTTTTTATCTCTTATGGTTTTATCGTATATTAGTTTAATATGATTTATGTGGAAATTTGTAGATCTCATTGCGGTGTGCCTGGTTGCAAGTTAAGTGTATTCAGTAAAATGTTATTTCAAATTCTTCTTCATTTCTCTATTGGCATTCCATTGCCCAAATGCAAAATGTTGCTTAATGTTCCATTTAGATTTGTCTGTCTGTATTGTGTGTCTGTGTGTGTGTGTGTTTTCATCTGACAATCGCTAAATGAGAGTCAGACATTGCTGTATAACTATTCTTTCAAAGCATTCCCTACATTACTTCCCAGATATGGCCAGGATTCTCTATAGATGCCAACACTTGTCCAGGCTAGCGTCTGCTCTATACCCTTCTTATGCCTGCTCCTCAGGCCTCTCTCTCTCTCTATTCGAATTAAGCTTGGTACATATGTATGCATGTGTTGTGTTGGTGTGTCTACAAGTGCTACAAGGGGCATGTTCGGGGCTCGTCAAATGATATCGTGCGCAGCATTTATCGATTGCAGCTAGCATGTAAAAAAAGCAACGGAACTTTTTAATACTTCTATGTTCATTTCATATATATATTTTTTTTAGCTATGTGCACTGAACTGCTTTTGGAAATTTCCAGATTCTTCACATATATTTTTGCCTTCTTTTAACTTTCTTTTTTTTTTTTTTAAACCTATCACATAAATGTATGTTTGTTTATTGGGCGGAATTTTTAGCGTGTGTTTTTTTTTTTATTTTATTCGTATTTTCTTTTTCTTTTTTTTCTTGGCTTTGTGATAGGACAGAAGAAAACGCAGAGAGGACAATGAAAGTGTTCAATGTATACATAAATCTCTTTAAAAGCTAAAAGACGGATTCGCGTGCTATAACAGAAGCTATGGTATTCAATTACCGCAAAACTTTGCCTAACCGAGTTAGTGTGAGTGTGTGTATGTGTGTGTGTTGGGGCTGTATGTGTGTAAGTGTTTGCTGTGCCATTTAGCTAGCTGTGTGTTGGGTAACCTTATACGTATAAGCTAATTATAGCATCTCTATAATGCCAATTTTGCGTGCAATGCGCCCAGAACTATGCCACAATTTCCCCGACCAGTGAGCAAATCAAACGATGACACTGGAGCTCAGTTGTTTCAAAACTTTCATTTGTTTTGGTGTCTTGGTGTATGTTTACTTATTTTGGGTATTTGTTTTTGCCATTCAAACATTTGTCTTGCGAGTGTTGAATTTGCTGCTAAGTATACGCTGCTATAAGTATTTGTAGTTCTATTTGAAAACTCTTACTTGGCTACTGCACATTTATGTATTGTTTTTCTTTTTACTTTTTCTTATTTGTTTTTTTTTGGTTTACGCGTTCAACATTTGCGTTTCAATTTTGGTTTTTGTTATTTGCTTTTTCTTTTATTATAATTTTGGTTTTTATTTGTAGTCATTATAATAATTTTAATTTTTTTTTTTTTTCAAGTTTACGCAGTAATGCTCGCTGATTGGATTCGACGACTCGGGGCAGTTATTGCCCATGGACATCAATACTACATATAAGCCAATACGTTGCCTGGCCGCGGCGCTTAGAAGACCAGCATTTGATCGGCGCTGCCCTCCACGCTGTCCTCGTCGTCGGCGCCCTCGTCCTCGTCATCGGATGTTAGCGAGGCGGCGTTATTTACCACGGACTCTGTGCAAATGGAAAGTAAAATTCGATTTCTGCTCTGCCAAAATGTATGCCCGGCATGGCCATGGCCCCAAATTAGTTTGTTCACTGAATGTGCGGCGGGGCTGTTTGCCTGCCTGCCTGCCAGCCTGCAGTAATAAACATAAACATAAATCTTAAAAGAATATTACAATGGGTCTCAGCAGATTGAGCACTAATCTGGCTTAGTTCGGCGTGCATATTGAATGTGATTTGTGGCACTCTCTCATAACCAATTGGAATTTGTTTAGTATGCCAATCGCACATGCAGCAAACAAACCTCCGACAGTTGCTACACGCATGTGGCACGCATGGCGTATGAGTGACAAAGAAAGCTAAGCTTAATTATGTTGCATATAGATTGGTCGCTAGATATGTATATATATGTTGCAAAAATATTTCCAGTTTAAGCGTAAGCTATTAGCGACGGGACCAAACTTGTCACAGAATAAAATGAGCTTAGCAGGATAAAACATTTCGCTTTGTCAGTTTACAGCTGCCGCCTTGCTGATATGCCACATGTGTCCTTGTATCTGCAGAGATGACAATCTATAGCACACAAATATTTTATCAGTGTTATATAAATTAAATACTTGTACTTGTACGATAAATGATATATCCTTTTGTCAATATTGAGTGAAATAAATTACTCATTATTTCATTCCCCTTATCTAGTCATTATTATAAGTCATACAGGCATCTGGCTACTCTATATCTTTTGACTGAGGTAATACGCCGCACAGGCTCAAGGCGGCCATTTAATATTATATTCAAGCCAGTGCCTTAACCTATAAGTTTGTCTAAATCCCTAGTTTCTAAATAAATAACTAAATGAATATTTCACCAGATTAATTGTGACAGCTCTCAAAATAATTCATAAAATATTTATAGAAATCTCTCATAAATTTAAAAAAATACATAGATTCTACTGTTACTGATATAAGTAGTCACTAATATACTATATTCTCCCAGAGCAATTGCCTTTAGATTTCATCACTGACATTTAAAACAAGCAGATATTATTACTCTTACAATTACTATAATCAATAGTCACAACAATTGAATCATTGTCGCAAGTATAATAGATGCCTGGTTAATGAGTAGTCATAGTTTCGTATTCTGTAATACAATTTATATACTGCTATTAAATCAGTTCACCAAAACTCTTACTGTTATGTGAAGGTAACAGTTACAGTTACAGCTATCACTGTGAATACATTTTAAACCCATTTTCCATTTGAAGTAGGCATAAAATTAATTCAAATGTGAAGGCTAATGGGGAAATGTTCACAAATTGAAGCGTGGTCAACACACATGCATATATTGGGCCTAGATACGTATCCATAGATATATATACATATATGCATATGCACATATGTGTGCAATGCCACAATGTAGCGTGTCAAGTGTTTGTTGATGCATACTCACCGCAATTGGGCTTGCCACGTGTACGGGTGTTGGCGAACTCGACGCCGTGCTTGTCCACACACCAACAGACGCCGACCGAGTTGTGGCACTGAGTGGGCTTGTAGAATCCTTGGACGTCGCAGTCAGGTGCGTAGGCGCCTAATTAGGTTGCAGCAACAGTAACAGCAACAGCAACAACAACAGCGAGTAGAAGAACAATAAAAATGCGCAATTTTAGTAAGCCTTTATAATTGTCAGAGGCAAATGGGAAAGCGGCGCAAGCGAAATTCTTTGTATTTTATTGTAATAATTTGTTTTGTTTTGCTTGGTTTTTGTGTGTTTCGTACTTTTTGGGCTTGTAGGAATACGAAGAAAAGAACAGAACAGAACAGAACAGATGAGAACAGAACAGATGAGAACAGAGCAGAAGAGAACAGAAAATAAAATGAAGGGAAATTATACAGTTAAAGTTTATAATGGGCCAGCAACAACACTGGCGCTAGGCAAAAGGTAAAAGTTTCGTGTTGTTAGAAGTGTTTAATTTGCTGGCTTAAAAGTTGCGTTTGGCCAAAAGGTAAAAGATAAACGAGAGCGGCAAAGCGAGAGCGCACGGAGAACAATTACAAAAAGAGGTGTCCTTTTTAACTGTTGCTGTGGCTACTTATGCGTGTGTGCGTGTGGTATTGAGTTGTCTGTGTGTGTGTGTGTGTGTGTATGTATTACATTCAGGCGCTTAATTATACATAGCTTAAAATAGGTTAAACGTAGAGTAAAAAGTGTTTGAGAAGCGGCATAAACATAACAAAGCGCACACAGCGAGAGGCAAAAGAGAATCGTAAACAGTTAGAGAGTGGGAGAAAGTTTCGAGTGTGGGATGGGGCCAGAAACGGATAAGGTAACACCCAGATAACTGTTCTAGCTACCCGCTCTTCGAGATTTGTGTTCAACATTTGTTGTAGTGTTTGCGTTTGCATTTTACGGCGATTTCATAATAAAAACCAAATGAAAACTCATCCCCGAAATGCCGAAGACTGAATGCCCTGGCAGACAATTTAAATGAATGGCAAGCCTGATAAAAATATATATTTAGGATATATTTATGACACTGAGATTGCAATGAAGTTATTTTAAGGCTATTGTTTCTATTATCGGACATGTAGACTGAAATATTCGAGCTTTGGCTCTGCAAGGGCATTTGCATGGAACTGAATTTAATAACTGAACACAACACACACTCAACTCAATCAAGAATATATATAGAGAGAAAAAGATTAGTGTTATGTTAGCTATAGAAATGTCCACCTGTACCTATCTCACCTGCAAAGTCGCCGGCAATTCTTCGTCGCACCGCGGCACAGGGGCGATCGGTCTTCTCGAAGCAGCGGCACCATTCGCGTGTGTTAATCGAGCTATCCTGATCCAGGTCGCAGGTGTCGATGAATGGCTTGATGCAGCGCTCGTTCTGATCGTGCTCCAGATCGTACAGCTCCTGCAGCGACAGCAACCCATCGTTGTTCAGATCCAGGTGCCCAAACATCCACTTGGCCTCGGTCTTGCATGCAGGTGGGAAATGCGCCTTCGACTTTTGGCTGTGCTGGCGACGCTTCTTGCTGTCGGCCATGATCACCGAGAACCAGTCCAGCAGACGATTGCCAATGGCAGTCAGCTGCTGTGGCTTGCACTCGGCCGACTTCAGGGGATAGCCTAGCAGAGGGAAAGTTCCCAAATTTATTCATGTATTTCATATTATTTCCATTTATTTCACTTACCATTTGGATTGTTTTTGTTGAACTTTTGTGGCTGCTTTTCAATGACTTCATTCTCATTGTAGACACGCATCTTGTGCTTATCCTCCTGGTATTTGGCATCCTGTAAGAGTGAAAAGCACTCGAGATATATCACCTGTGCCCCTACAAATCTATTGCACACGCATGCCAAGTGCTGGGTGGCACAGGTATGAGGGGGGTAATGGATGGATGGATGCTCTTACCTTCTTGTAAGCCGTGTACTTGAGGTACTTGTAGTGCTTGTTGTCATACTTGATCTCTTCGGGCGTGAACGTGTACTGCGCATTGATATGATTAAAGTGACGATTGTTGTCCTCCTTATCCTGTCGATTCGATTACGTATGTAATGCGTATTCAATTGTGTTTGGCTTGACTTACATTCATGATGGTATTGAAGTCGTTGTTGTTGCTGCCCATAACATTCCCGCTGCTCATCATGATGTTGTTGTTATTGCTGTCCTTGTAGGCCTGCTGCTGTTGCTGTTGCTGTTGCTGCTGCTGTTGCTGCTGCTGGTCCAGGCTGATCTTTTTGCTGTATTTATTGTAGCCACCACGTTCGCCAAGCCGCTGCAGTCTCTTGCCATCGGTGTTTTCTGCAAAACGAGGGAAATTGTTGAAATGGCAAAATGGCCGCCATAAAATCGCTTGGCATGGAAAACTTTTCATATCCTGGCGTTGGCCACTGAGGCGTCATTTCTATTTAATGCATGTTCTTGTTATTCCCGCGCCCCCAAGCAAACAACAAAAATAAAATATGAAAAAAAGAGAAAAAAAACCGACAAGAGTTGCAATGCGCTTTCATCTGTGTAAATTTAAAATTAATGTGCTTGATGTTGTTGTTATTTATGCTGCTGCAGCTACAGCTGGCTGAATCACCAAGTGCCCTGCTCACCCACCCACTTGACTGCTCACTGAATGCCTTAGAACAATAAAGCTGCTTGTTGAGCGGATTATTAAAAATTCAACAATTGATTAAACTCGGCTTCAGGCAATTTAAGGCCGTAAGAACTCGGAGCTTTGCTGCACCCTCTGGCCCACTGCAGTTGTGATTGCAATTTTGAGTGCATCCGGCCTGACGTCGAAGCCAAAACAACATGCGGCTAGGAATTGGCTCGATGCATGCTTGGCATTTGTTTGGCTCCGACTTGTTGTTGGACATTTGCCAGGCTCGAACTCATCATGCGCTTGGGCTGTGGCTCTGGTCAAATAATAAAAGTGTCCCCATTTGCGGTTAACTTACCCTTGCAAGGACAGAATCCCTTGCAGCCGATCCGTATGGCTGTCGAGTGTATGCAATTGTGATAATCCAATCTGCATAGTGATGAGTAGGTCCTGTTGTCGGCGCCGCAAAGGAACATTGGCTTGGCCACGGGACACGGCTTGCAATTGCTGTCGGGAATAGAGTTAGAGAAGAGACTGTCAGTAAAGAAATCAGCACAACAAACTCAGCGGAGCGAGATAAAGGCCACGAACAACAAATAGATGACATGCAAAATTAATTTTTTATGCAAATTACGTCTGGCAGGTGAAACCTGCAGCTGCCTATGGGCCCGTTAGCCGTCGCCTCACATCTTCTTTAAATATTTATTTAATATGCAACGCACGCGCTCCCAGGCAAACAGGCAAACAGGCTGGCATTGCTGTCAGAGATCAAAAGCACTTATAGCTAGCTGCCTGGGCTGGAACCCCTTTCCAGCCATCAGCAGGCATCTTTTTCCTTATTTACGTTTTATTTTGTATTTTTATAATTTGTGCAAATATTTGAGCTGTCGGGAAACGCGACGCGGATTTCGACATTTTTCCCAAAGCTTGTAAATTGAAAGAAATGTAAGATAATTGGACTTAAAGCTTGTGTTCTTTCCCTTCTCTAACCGAATTTTATATATTTATTGCAGCTCCTAAAATATATCAAATATTCACGTACTCAGCAAACGTTGTTAGATTATAAAATTGAAATTATTGTAAGCTGGTGTTAATTATAATAAACAAGATTCATTTATAATATTCACACCTTGTTTTACACGCAACTCTGCTTCTTTTTGTAATTTACATTTAATAATTTACGACGTACACGCATAATTGCGCCTTTTAAATACATAACCAAAAAATACATAAATAATAAATTCAATTAATTGTTGCATCCGCTGATGCCGACGTATACGTAATTTATTTTAAATAAAAAAAAAAATTTGTTTCTGGATTGCTGTTCAATGATTTTTATTGGTTGACTCAGGATAAGCAGCAAATGGAGTGTGTATTTTTCAAGTCCTTTGCATAATATTAATTTTTTTCACTCGAATGTTTTTTAATTGTTTTACAGAATGTGCGAATTGAGCGTGTGAATTGACTCCCAGGGAAATTTGATAAGAAATCAGTTTCAATTCCCAAGACGAGGAAAATTGAGGTGAATTTGTTGAAGGAATCAGAATTGGCAGAGAAAAAGAAAATTATTTAACTCTGATGATACAGATTCTCAATCAAACTGAAGTGTGAACTATGCAGCATGAAATTCGATTCCACAAAAAATAAAATTTGTATTTATGCAACACACTGCAAGTGAAGTGGAGGAGTAGAAATAAATATAGAATAAAAGCAAGTTCAAAATTGCTGAGAGCATCTGAAATGCCAAATTATTGCAGCCAACATTTGCATTGCTTTTGCAGTTGTCCAATATCGCAGCTAAGCCAAGGCAAACATATCATTGGCTAAAAAATCATATTCTTGATGTGTATGAATGTGATATAGTTGGCATAGATAAAGAGAGAGAGAGAGAGAGAGAGAGAGAGAGAGAGAGAGAGAGAGAGAGAGAGAGAGTGATAAGAAGAGCGAGAGCAAGCTATCAATTCAATTAAAAAAGGGGTTTCAGCTATTTTCCATTTTTCTCGTGTTCCACTCAAAGATGTATCTGCTATTTAAATTTTACCTGAACTGAGAGCTACAATTGCGGCATGGGCCGACGACACATTTGTTGGCAAGTTTGGGTCAATAGCTGTTGCGGTTACTTTGGCTGTTGCCTGCTGCCTGCTGTGAAAATTTGTGAATTTTTACTCAAATATTTGCTTTCAATTTTGAACCACACCGGCACACACACAGCCAGGTGAAACGAGGTGGTGTGGCTGCACCAACTGTTGGAGCTGCCTTTGAGCCACTGATGCTGACAGCTTCATAAGCATAGAGCAAAAAGCAGCTCAGTGGTTTCAAATAGCTGCCATCGGCAGCCGCATAGCCGGGTTGAAGCTGAGGCTGAGGCTGAGGCTGAGGCTGAGGCTGTGCTATGCTGAGGTAAGAGGACAACTATGTGAACACCGCCCCAGTGCAGGGTTTATGGTTTTGCCAGCTAAAAGCCGCAGCACGGACCATATTGTTACAAGAAACAATGCACGACTATATGAGTTATGAGCGTTGGAATGTGTGAGTGTGTGCGTATGGGTGAGTGTGTGTGTGCGTGTGCCTTACACTGGTTTGCAGTCTATGGCAAGTGCCCCGCAAATCTGTGCCCCTATCAACCGCAGCAAGTGGGCCATAGGCGAGGCAAATCTTTTGTTTGCGCCGTGCCGGATTGAAGAGCTAGCACGGAATAGCAGATAAATTGAGCGCGCGAACTATTGATTTTGTTAGCTCAATGTTTCCTGGGCACAGCAACACACACGTTTACATCACAGACCCCCCCTTAACAGCCCTCACAGTCACATTCTCATTCTCATTCTAGCTACATCTCTCTCTTTCTCTCTCTCTCTCTCACGCGCTCTGTAGGGTTTTCCAAGTGGCATACAAAGTCTACGCCATTGACATAGATACCCGTCTGTTGTGCACAAAAGCGAAATTCTTGTGAAAGCAAATTGAAAAGAAAATGCGAAAAATATGTCAAAAGCCATTTTTTAATATCGGAAGGCGTGGCAAGACTCTCGATTTGCCGATAGATAGATTGATTACGCGGCCATTAACAGGCACAATAGAGGCAAAGTGGCACAAGGCAAAACGTAAACAAGAATTCAAATACACAAAATGATTAAGAAAATTAAAAATGTAATTTAATTGCATAGTTCTGTTTTATGTTAAATATTACAATAAGATCAAACATACATTATTATTATGACATTTTATTATTTGCGACTGGAAATATATCTGATGTTCCAATTTTCAATTTGCTTAATTAGCATTGAATATTTTACGGATATTGAATATTGAACAACTGGAGTCGTTAACGAACTCTCTGCTCGTTTGTCCATATAAGTGGCTGAGCGTTTGACATTTAGAATGGTTAATATAAACTTTGTATACTCTCGCTTGACAAATTGAAAATTCTTTTATATACGAGCAAAATTATTATTGGAATAAAGTAAATACTATGCAATACTATTTAATCTCCTGGTTCTTTACACATATTGGGATTTTATACTACTGACCCATAACAGTGCATAACAATTTCAGGAACTACTTCATTTGCAGGGTTGTTGATATTCGCGGAAACCTATCTGACAGTCCTATATCTTTTGAGGTGGCCATTTGATCATCATATTCAAAATCAGATGTCAATAAATCTACTTAAGGCAAAGAAAATGATTATTATCGTTAATATACAAAAAAAAAAAAAAAAAAAAAAAAAAAGGATTTTCTTTTATTAAAAAAAAAAAATAAAAATACCTAGGTCGAATATGGGCAGCCTAGCAGGGCTGCCAGCTAGGTGCCTCCGTCGCATATGTATAGCCCTATACTTTCTAATTTATCATTAATTATCTGCTCGGCATGTCTGCTGAATCTTTATAAATTAAATCTTACACAAAATGAATTTTTAGTGCTCTTAGTTGTTAGGCTACTGTGCCAACATTTAAGGACACTTTAACTAATTTGAAGAAAAATGTAAAGATTTTACGAGTAACAGAGCCTGAGATGCCACAATGTATTCACGAAAATTAATTTTCCACTCAACAAACTGCTATCAGCAGATAAAGAAAACTTTCCGCTATGCCCGGCTAAACGGGCACCTGCTGATGCCGCTGCTCCCCAAGGAGCCGGGGAAGCCAAGGGAAGCTTGAAATTAAATTTAAAGCAAAAAGCAAACGGATAAACAAGCCGAAGCCAAGAATAAACAAACGCAAACTTGGGGCCATGATTTTTACTAGCAAACAGGCTAAGAAAAACAATTTTGCCACGGCCCACGCCACGAGCCGGGATATGCTAGCTGATAATCTTAACACGGGTTCCTTAAAAGCCTTTGGCGTGCGGCAGCTGTGTAAATATGTTTTCTTAATAATGACAACTGCTATCGATTATTTATAGTGCAGCTCCTCTATGGGCTGCATATCAATTGGATGAAAAGTGTCGAGCAGCAAACATTCTGTTTCCGACACCCAAAAGACATTCCAGCGGATATTGATGTTTAGAAAATGGTGTACAACTTTCCGGCCCAGTTGGGCACGTCAACACGTCGGAAATAGGCCAGCTCGCTGTGATAGTTATGGCCAACAATCGCTAGCAATTGAGCCTTGGCCCAGCAGCGTTGACTTTGACTTCATTCCTGGCTGTCGCACCTGAGGCCCGCCTCACTCTCCACGCTCCGGCGGAAATTCTTTCCATTTGCTCGCGTGCGAACTCACAATTTGGGTTAGGGTCAGGTCAGAGCGATAATGTTGTACAAGTCAAAGGAAACGACTAGGGCGACTGCGACAAAGGGTAAAAGGCCGTAAAGCTGTCGTTTCAGGCGATTCCGCTGAAAGTCCTACAACAGCAGCAGACATAAACAAATATCAGCAGTGCGGACGCAGCACAATGCGAACGGATAAGTACGGCAAGGGCCGAACGGAATGAAATGCGTGCTAAAAATTGTACTTTTCTGTCGAATTTGTATACACCATAAAACAATTTGTTATTAGCGTGCCGGTCATGCAAATCACAAATTCGTAGAGCTCAGCCTTGGCAGGGAGCCACGCCCCGCTCACCTAAGATGTGCAACCCTTTTTCTTAGTTTTCTTACGGCCAGCACCCGCAAAGTGAATGTGAATTTGTTAAATGAATTGTCAGAATTCCATTGATATGGAATGCCCCAGGGAAAAGGATTGAGCCTAGCCAAGTGCTCGACTACTTACTCCAACTCCTCGTCGTCGTCCTGCTGGACGGCTGCTGGTTTCGGGAGCAGCTGCTGCTTATCGCTGGCGGCAATGTTGTTCTCGTAGAAGACGTCGTCCTCCTTGGACTCATCATCGTCGCCTAGGCTCAGGCTTTTATCTTCATCGTCGTTGTTGTCCTCATTGCCCTGGTTGTTTGCTGGGATGTTGTTGTTGTTCTTATTGTTGTTGTTGTTGCTGTTGCTGTTGTTGTCGCCGTCGCTACTGTTATCCTCATCGTCGTTGTTGATGTCCTCGACATCCTGGCTATCGTTATCCTGCTGATTGACACGCCGCTTGGCTTCATCCTCCAAATATTTGGCCTTAGTGATTATCTCATCGCTGGAAGAACAAGCAGAGGGTTAAGCAATTCCCATTTTGCACCACAGTCGCAAATAATCAAGTTTTAATTTAATTAGTTTATCAAGTTTTGTGAACAACACAAATTAGAAAACACGCCTACGGCTGCTCACCGATTCTTGTGCAGCTCCTTCTTCGACACGCAGACAGCACTGAACTCGTCCTCCAGCAGGCAAATCTCGCGTTTCTTACAGTTGAGCGGGCGGCAAAGGTCACCTGAGAGAGACATTTCATTTGAATTATGAAAAACAAAAGAAAAGAAAAGAAAACAAAATGAAATTGTTGCCATAAGTTTGCTGTCTCCTTTATGGATGGGCTGGAGGGCTACTCACTTGATGGATCATGTATCCAGCGCTTGCGATCTCCCAGGTTTTTATTGTTCTGCGAGTTTTTGTTTATCTAAGGGCGGGAGTGAGAACGAAATGGAATGTTTGATTAATTCACGTTGTGGGGGAAATATGTTATGCCTTAATTTCTTTATTTAAATGCAAAAAATGCAAAGCTTCCATTCATGTCAGTTGCCAGACGCATATCACAACACAAACACAAACACACACACACACACACACACACACACGAGATATATGCACGACTGACGGCATACTGTATGTAAAGCGAAAGCGTATCGTATACGTAATATACAAATGAGAGCAGCAGCAGCTGCTATCCCAGCTGCCAGGCGCCTCTACAAACATTGCTACACACTGCAAAATGATTTTGACGGGCTTATTGTTTCAAAGGTTTTTAGCATTGAAAAATTCAATAATGAAATGAATCAATTAAGCAGGAATATAAAAAAAAAAAACATTTGCATTTTGAGCAGTGAAGACAAGAATAAGAATCGAATAAAAGCTTCGTGTTTGTAAGTGTATTTATTTTTCTGTTGAATCAAGTCAATTAGCAATTGATTCGGATTTGATTTTCCTATAATCTTGATGATAAGTCATATTTTCTTATATTTGGCTTATATTGCAATAGATTTAAAGGTTAAGGAAAATCAATATAGATTTAGTTTAGCACATCATGAACATCATGAAATTATTTATTTATTTATGAACAGAATCATATAGAGCTTAGGCTATGAATTGATGATACATACTATATAGTATATCGTATAAATATTATAATATAATATCTAATATTGTAATAAACCTCTTATACATATGAACTGCATATTATTTTCGCACTCCAATTGCAAAGAGATCTATGAAAATGTAGTTTTATTTTATTTTATTTTATTTTTTTTTTATAGAATCACGCAAGAATCCGCCCTCGACTCCGATTCCAACTCCGACTCCATATCTCCATACCTCCATTGCATATTCGTGGCAAAATCTTATTAGGGGCAATGGTGCGTATGAGCAATACTCAATTTGACTCTGAAATATGGTCGAGCAAACAGCAGCTGCAATAATATTACCCTCCGACTGGCACTTGCTCTAAGCCCATAAAACAACCAAAGCAACCAAAGCGTTCCCTGTCGCTGTTGTGACTCCCATGCGACAGCATTGCTGTGACTTGACAGCAGAGCACGACACCCGAAAGCCCGTACTGGAGGATCCACTGCAATGGCCGCTTTAAGCGGACAGTTGCTAAATTGGCAAGTTAACTAGGTAGCTGCCAGCCGGAGTCGAGCAGGTCAAGCGTTGACCCCGTTCATGCTCAATACACACGGCCAATTCGCAAGTGCAAAATGGCAATTGCGCTTTTTACAATTGCCACACATCTACATGCACATGCACATACACATACAAATGCACATGCACATACCCATGCACATCTACTGTCGTCCATCGACGTCTACGCTGGCTGCTGTAATGCAATAAAGTCGTCCGGGGCGTGGACTCTGGCAATTTGCATGCGTTAAAATGCAATTTGTGCGCGTTTCCTGGCCGCGGTTTGCTGTGCCACACCCCTCTGAGAATCGCGCCTTTGTCCGTCCGCCGTAGTCGTGTGATATTTAAAGCGCACTCCGCCCGCTGTGCCGGCCAGCATTGTGCGGGGCCAAGCGTCCATTTAGCTCTGCGGGTGTCGACGTTGATTGGGTCGGTCAGCAATCTGCTGCAATGCGCTTTTGTTGGCTTTAATTGCGCTTCGTTTGCGGCGGCCAGCAGCCGATTGGCCTTATTGTGGCTGAAAGATGATGCTGAAGCGTAATCAACTCCGGCAGCTACTTAAATAGGCCGTAAGTCCCGCCATCATGCCGAGAGTTGGCTCTTTAACTGGGTCACAGCTGCTGCAGGCGCTCTGCTCCTGCGCCCGCTCCTGCCCGTGCCCCTGCACCTCCTGCAGCAGCCGGCAAGGGCCTTGCTTAGGGCCCAAAATACGCTCTCGCGTTATGCAAGCAAATCCTGAGCGCAAACAGCGGTGCCACAGCAGGAAATGGTGTCGCAGTCGAATGTACTTTAGTTGCACGCTCTGCCGCCAGCATCCACGTTGCATCCACGCCGCATCCACGCTGCATCCAGAGCCGGCAGTTTAACCTCTTTGCCAGATTTTTGACTGTTTAAGTGGCTGGGCTTATTAAAGTCCATTTAATTACTGCGCTCGGCTGGCGCCTCGTCGCCTCTGACTCTGTGCAACTTGACCTTAATTCGGGCTGGCTCTGCTGCCGCTTCTCTCGGCAGATGCTGCCAAATGCCCAGCACGTTTCTGTTAAAAGCGAATGTAACAAAAATATAAAAATAAAGAAAGAAAAAAAAAAATATATATATATATATGGCCAGAAAAACAAAAAATTTTGTACACGTCATTTTGTTGCAGCTGCAGCAGCGCCACGCCCACAGTCATGCGCCCACCGGCAGCCACACTGTGGCAATCTGTCAAGCTTTAAATTGAATTTACGACTTTGTTTTCGTAGCGGGTTTATTTCTTATTCTTTTTACTTATTTCCTCAACGCTTTGCGCTGCTTCGCAAATTCTTTATTGTTTTCCTTATGCAGCAGCCAAGGATAACAAACGATTCCAGGCGGCTTTAGCGGGTCTGCTACTCTTTGCGGGACTGCACTGCAGCCGCACTGCGACTGCCGCGCCATTTCGACTGTCAGTTTTGGTTGCATTATGCAAATGCAATTTTTATTTAGTTATATGCAGTTGCTGCTGATTTCCTTGGCTTGTCCCATGCGATTCTACATTTTATTGAGAAATGCTTTTTAGATACCAGATTTGCAGTAAGAAAGATTTCGTGATATGTACTTTTGATCAGTAGATGAAACAGAATCAGTGCTATATACTGATTCACTATGAAAAACATGGAGAGTTCTTGATTAAAAGTCTAAATTGCACAATTTACGTTGCATTATAATAAATTTCTATATATGTATATATGAAAAGTTTCCATCTAATATTTATTTATTTTTCGGGTCTCAGTTAAATAAGAATCGTTAAAACTTTTTGAAGACTAATAAAGTTATTGTTTCATAAAAATTAACTTGTGAATAGAAATAATTTTATTTTGTTTTATTTTTTTTTATTTTTTTATTTTAACAGTTTTTTTTTTTGCATTAAGCTTCACAAATTTCAAGGTAATAAAAGGCTTAAAATTAAAAAGTTGTTAAACAAATTATAGTATTATAGCTGAAATCCAAAACTTTAACAATTTCTTAATTCGTATAAAATAATCTTATTAGAACTGAAATTTCTATTTCCATTCCAATTATATATATAGATTTTTTTGTATTCATCTATAACCCTATCTATACTTTTTGACAAAACTATGCAAATAGGAATGTGAGCGAAGCAGAGCTGACACCGTTCTAGCTTTTGACAGTTCACTCCTGTGCTGTCGAATATATTTGCCAAGCTTGTAAAACGCTTATAAGATATTCACAATTTTCTCACTAATTGGAACAACATGGACAGTATAGAAAGCTCTTGTTTTGTGCACGAACTATTAGAGAACGGTGAGTTGAGTTCTATATCAATTCGGGATTATGTCGATGTTCAAATGCACATTGAACGGAAACTAGTCCTCTTACAAACACTCAAAAGAACAAAAAATTCATTATGCAAACGCTCGTGTTTAATTAATGTTTGTATGAACGTATACGTGTGTGTGTGTGTGTGTGTGTGTGTAGCTTTTATGAGGTGTCCCATATTGCAAATGGTTTGTGTAATGCATTGCCAACCAACAGAATTTATAATTAATGGGTCGCATCACTGGAATGTCGTATGCACATGTTTTCGTGGATGCTTTAAATGCTACAATAAATATTGCAAAAAATTATAAGCATATTAGCTGAAGAAGCACTGGGCAATCAAATGTGAATAAATTGTGAAATATTTTACATTGGCTCAATAGCTTTGGCCATCAGCAAATCATCAAAGATGAATTTTTAGCTACAAGCTTTCATTTTTTTTTAAATTTATATTTTATTTGCAATCTGTTTTAGCTGCAAACATAAAAGATTTTTAATTTGATATAATTCTTATCCCTCAATCGAAAGTCACTCATTGATATCGAATTCTATAGAATTTAAATGAATGTAGTTTATTATGCAACTGAGATAGAGCTGCATTTGCATTTGCAATCATTCATAGTTGAGTTTACAGCTTACATTTGTCAGCATTCCGCTTTACCATTGAGCATCGCTGGGTTTATCGATTTCAAATTATATTTCGCAAATAATTTCGATTCGTCTCGCAATTAACTTGTGATGTGACGCAGCCAACAGCTCTGTCCGCTTTAGCAAACCTCTATGATACAGCTTATAGTGGGAGGTGGGCTAAAAGAATATGCGAAATAATAAATACGCTTTGGCGTTGAAAATGTTGTAAATTATGCTGCGGCCGCTGTCTGAATGCCAATGATGCGGCCCGGAGATGCAATATTTTCGCTTTGTTGGCTGCCCTGCTGCGGCATCAATAAACTGGGCATCGTTCAGAATGATGATGCGGAGCATATTAAATGCCTCAAATATTGAGGTCTGCATCTGTGTGCATAGCATTTGAAAATATTGCGGCTGTGGCTAGCGTGAATCGCATGAGTTGTGGCAATTAGGACAAAGTGTATCTGTTTCCAGTGGGAGGATTATCAATGCCGACCCACTCACTGGCTGACTGACTGGCTGACTGATTGACTGGCTGACTCACTGAACTGAAGTTTTGGTCCATAAATTATGCATTGCGCTTTAAAAAGTACATTAGGCATGACAGGCATGGCTGGACCTCAAATCAGCCAGCTGTGCATGTATAGAATGGGATGCTGATGCACTCGGATTATTATCTATCTATGTGTGGGCCAGCGGCTATTTTGTGGCCTTTATAATGGCTCGGATGGGCCGCATGAATTGCGCAATTTCGTGCACACAGCTGGTAAATCAATTTCAATCGCAGCCAAGGCAGACTGCTCTAAGCGGGATGTCCTGGCTACCACACTTCCTGCCCGGATGCGCAGCAGG